CTCCCTGCCTCCCCTTGGAGGTAACACCGGTTTCCTTGGCTTACCACAGGCTCCTTACCAGCCCTCACCACCCTCCCTTCCCTGGGGTTTCCTCATCAGCGGGTCCTACAGTGCCACTGTGGTGGCCCTGGCCCCTTCTGCTGGAAGTGGGAAGAGGGGGACGCCTGGCCCTTTGGCCCTGAAGCTTGCTCTGAGCCAGGGCCGTTGCTCCCAAGCAGCAAGGAGGAAGATGAGGAACACCGGCTCCCTGCTGTAGAGCATATAAGCGCCAGCCTCATTTCCACATTGCAGAGATACAGTAACCCCCTTTTCCTGGGGACATGGGCTAGGCTCTGGCAGTAACATTGCTTTTGGCCTTCTAAGGTTGAATTAGGGATCTCTAGTAATAAAAATTAATGCCATCCAGCCTTGGCAGCACTTGCATCTTTGTTTTCCCTAAATTTTTGTTTTTACTAAAGAGTGCCCCGGTAGAGAAGCTGCAGATTAAGCTCACTTTCTACCTGGTCCCAGAGGTGCCTCTGCAAACAGCATCCGCTTTTACTGCTCTCAACGACCAGCCTATGCTCCCAGATCAACACCGGCCCTGTTTCGAGGTCTTCCGCTCAAAATGCTTTAGTACTTCTGTTCGTATTGCTCCGGGACGTCCATGCACCCGTCGCTGACCAGACCCCCCAGGTAACCGCCGGCTTTAATCGCAGAAGGGACTGCTTTGGCCCCACAGAGGCAGATGAAGATCTCCCAAGCCTGTAATGGCACTAGCCGCTTTCACCTCAATCTATAAAAACCCAGATTAAGTCAAGGAAGAGGTAAAAACAAAGTAAAACTTCTTCCCAAAAGTAAAATTCACTAGTTTTTAAGAACACCTGTTTATCTCCATTAACACCCTGCACTTGCTTAATTCAGCCTTTTCACCTGATCGCCTCTGTCAGCCACCCAGATGAATCCTCTGTTTACCACTGAAGAAACTTTCTCCTTCACTTGGCCATTCACATCCCGGGGTTTGCATGTCTAGGAATGAATGGCAGAAACATAATGAAAAGATTTTTTTTATTAAAAAACAACATATTTATACATTTGTACATTCCACATACTGCTGTATACGTTCACCAACATAACCATTAAGTCAGAGAGCATTAACAGTGCAGATTTCCATCTGAACAACTTTACTGCAGGGGAACTTGAGTTTTGTAATCAATCAGACCTTACAGAACGTCATTAACTTCTTTTCCCTTTAAAAGTAGCAGCACATTTAATTATCAGTGTTCACAAGGCGTAAGCCCCAAAGTGTTGTACAGCAAGAGAAAAATTAATTAGTAAATATAGGCAATAGGAGGAGAGCTCACAATGAAAATGTATTAGTTGCTGCCTGTTATAAACAGCAGGATGTTAAAAAAAACACTTAGAGCTATGCTGAATAGAGACCGCAGCAAATTGGGAAGAGTAATAAAATAAAAAGTTACTTCTTGATGCAACTGTATAAAATAAAATATTTTTCAATGTCATTCAGGATAGAGTCCTGCAAAGAACAGACGTCGTTATAAAGACTCAGCAGAGTCGGGATAATGCTCGTGTGTTCAAACGTGTTATAAAGGTCTCGGAAAACATACGCGTACCCCATCCCTACCGCCACCTTCCCACAGCTGACATTACTAGGGTTTCACGTGGTTGATGTAGTACAGCGACATTTTATTGAACAAAGACAGATGTGCTCAGGAGTCCACCCAGAACTCCAGACTTACACCCATGCCAGTTTAATGCCGGAAGAGTGACGTTCATCAGGTAACAAAGGCTGGAAAGTGTTTGGAGGCTGGGAGCTGGGGGGAGAAGTTCTCATTGCAACCCGGCCTCCCGCGCACACCTGAGCCACCACACAACGGGCTGCCCGAAGAAGCCCCTTCATCGGCACCTGTGGCGCGCTCTGTGCAACAAAACCCAATTGCTTATTTTCTCCAGACTTTCAGATCGCTATTCTTGTAGTATTATCAATGTGATAACTTACACCTTTAAAGCACAGAAATGAAGATGTAACCGAATTCCCTCATAAATGTACGGCCATTAATCTTATTTCAAGCAGAGTGCCAGATTCTGAGCAATTTTTTTCTCATTAGCATTTTTCCTCTCCTTTTGACTTAGAGAGGGGAAAACTGCATGTGATGACATATACACATCATAGGTAATTTTTACGTGAGGAAGCGTGGAGATATGAAAGAGTAGAAAAGGGTTTAACGAGTGCTTTTTGTATGTACCAGTGACTGTAACGGAGGATGGCTAAAAAAAAAAAAGTCAGAGCTGCCACATTTCTGTAATTGGAAGCTACATGTTAAGCATACGTGCCTCAGTATCTGCAAAAGCATCTGTGTGAGAGACTAATCTCATTTATTATGTCCTGAATCACAGACACACTGTCACATTAAAAGAAAAAAAAATCTGCACTACTGTTTTGGTTTTCACACATACGAAGTTGGAGGAGACTCACTGGGAAAAAGAAGCGAGAGAGATGAATTACAAACACAAATAATTTAGCAAGAGCTAAATTAAGAAGAAATATTCTGACAGCATCTCCTCTCTCCAAGGGCAGGCCTAAGACACCACGTTCCCTAACTGGAGAGAAAAAGATTGCATCAAGCTTGCACTCCCAGAACCCATTTAATTTCCGAACTAGAAGGATGGTCAAAGAAACATTCCTCCTTCCTGCCTCTCCTCCTTCACGTATCCAGTCAGCGATTAATAACCAGATTACCATTCATTCCCTCCTCGCCGCCGCAGCCATACCCGAAGAACTTACCACAGTGGCAATGCTGTCCCCGGACTTCAGGTACGCAAAAGAAGAATGAGCAAACCGACAGCGCCAAAATAAAAGGAGGAACAGACTCGGGTTCTCCAACGTGAAGTTCTCTTACCCAAGGGGTGTTGCCCTGCCTAAGGGAATTTGAATGCAGACCTTTCCTAAGTCTCCTGGTGATACAGTACCGAATACCACGCACCGCTCTGATGTAGGCCGCCATCTCCTCCGGTCGAGCGTCACCCCAGTTGCTCAAGCGCTGCAGGCACACTGGAAGAGCACCCTCCACCTGCCACCTCCCTGCTGAGCTCTTGCTCTACCTCAGCCTCACATTGGGTTTTTTTGCTTCTTCGTTTTGTTACCGTGGGACTTCCATATGAATTCATCCAAATGAGTTCCAGTATAAAATGTAACAAAGAAACAGGTAACAATGTATGACTCAAATGTCAATATTTTTTCCCGTCCACATTTCTGGGGGCTAAAAGAATTCGATCCCCCAACTTAGATATTCATCACCCTTTTGGTCACCTCTGACTGCAAATATGCTACCTCACATTACTCTGGTTTCTGTATTTGTTCTGTATGTACAATTACTGTTACTGCTGCATTTTAGCCAAAGTACAAGTCTGAAAAAATATCTCGTATTAATGAAGAATTGTTTAATCTCTTACAGCCATACCTTTTCATGCAATAACAATTAAGAACTTTCTTGTGGTCTGGAATGATATGATCTCTATTCCATTGCAACACTAGTCGACAAGACTAAGTTCATCGCTACCTAGCGACTAGAATTAGTCTTTATCATGTGAGAGAGTGCTATTTGTTTTAGTACCTCCTTCTTAGATAGGAACAAAGCATACTGAGGACGTTTGCAGCAAAAGAAAGTATTTCTTATGAATCGCATGCCACTGTAGGCAAAAGGCTTATCAGATCTTTGTAAAATCACTTCCTCTCTATCAGCAAGTATTTTGAGGACGGGACTACAAATTTGGCTATGTCATCATTGCCAGTTGTACACACAATGTTTGAAAACCATGAATACAAGATACAGAAGAATCTGCTCATACCAGTGCAACACAGGAGAATCACTCGTGCCAGAATTAAGTCAGAAATGCCCACGTTTGTCTTTTTTGAAGGTGCCTTTCGCTAAACGTGGCTTACATGTCTTAGTAGAAAGCGCTACAAAATTCCTTACTTGGATTTTATTTGTTTTTTAAAACCCAACACAACGGCTATACTTTTCTAATTTCAAACTCAGGAAAGAGAAAGAGCCAAAGGTCTTTTGCATCAGAGACAAAAAAAAAGGGTATTTTTTCCCCCTACGCTTACGAGGCTGTTTCGTAAGCCAACCTTTTGGTAACAGGAGACCTCTGCCGAGGCTGCATCTAGAAGATACTGCGCAGATACCCTATTTTGCCGAAAGTCTCCACTCTGATTTGGAACGCTGAAACAGTGAGCAGCCGTACTAACTCAATTGCATGCTGGTCAGTAACCTTGGTATTTACTGGAGTTTTACAGAATTAAAAGAAATGCTTTGACTTTGAAATACTTTTATTTAATGTCGTCATTTTTTAACATCTCTTGTGGGAACCTGCTTCTTTTAAACTGATTGCTTTAAAATGGTTAAATAGCAATGTGAATACTTATCAGGGCAGTTAAGCAAAGGGTTTTCATTGTTGTTTGAAAAACCTTAGTTTACAGAATGTTTTGTAGAACATAACAAATCCAGTACGCCTGTAGTGCACCTTTGTAGATTTCTTCCCAATTATACCTCCTTTCCGTGATTTTGATTGCACAGTCATCCGCAAGTACTAAAACCTGTTCTTGTGGAGTTCCTATCTGCCTAAGTTATGTCACAGCAAACATTTAGCCCATAACCTGTACACTTATGTATCAGCTACATCTTTATCCTCCAAAGAAACTCTAGAATGATATAAGATCAATTTATTCAGCTGTATGTACAGTATATTTGCATATTAATAAATAAATCAATATTAAAGTTAAGGTCTCGTCCCCCATATAAAAGTGACTACAGTCTGACCAGACTATCTGACTTTGCTTTTTTTTTTTCTTCCAAGCACAGCTGTGTGACTGAGGCTATCCGTTTCCACTCAGTTTATTACAGTAACTGTAGGAGTAGAAACCTAATGGACCAGTGCTTACCTTTAAATTCTTTATAAAAAAGGCAGGGGGGGGGGGGGAGGTGGGGGGTGGGGAAGTACTAAAAAGTGCATCAAAAGCCAACAATTTGTAGAGCAAAAAAATCAAGTTCACAATGTGATCCTGGGGAAGAGAATCCAGCCCAAAATCCATGCTGCAGCAAACATTATAACCAACGCACATTTTTGTCTTGATAGTAAGCTGCATGATGCCAGTCTTGTCACATAATGTTCCAAGAATTCCAACTCCAATAGATGCCATCTCCACCTCTACAAATTTATCAACACCACATTCAGTGCAAAGTGACATTTCTTAAAATAACTATTTGCTTTGTCTCCATAACATTCATCCTTACTGGGAAGGAAAGGCTCATTTTCTTTAACTGTTCATTACTATATACAGAAGAGCCTATATTTGCACCTCTCCATTTCTGGTAGTGAATTTTCTTTGCTATCTACATTCATTAGAAATCAAAAAAGATAAGTGGCGATATTTCATATTTACTGGAAGTCTTTCCATTAGCCCAAAGAATAGCTGTTCATCTTGATTTATACCTAAAGTAGCTGCACTTTGTTCTTTTTTCCAGCCCACTTTCAATGGGGTGTAAGTCATGAGAACCTGTGGGACGGGAACATATTTCAAGTCTGATTGCTGGAGCTGGAAGAGTGATGAGTCCCATTTGAATTCAGGTGTCTGTTTGCAGCACAGTGTGTGTGGACCATACCCCCATTTGGGTATCTTACAAATACAGGCTCGCAGAAGGGATTTTGGCACACCTGACAGACCTTTTTGTCCGAAAGAAGAATTGGGGGTCCTTTTTGTTTAACCTAAAGAGAGGGGAAAAAAATCCAAACATGAATCTAGCAAGAAAGGAAGGGAAATTACGAGGCATATAATTTCAACTGTACCAAATGGACAAACGTGGTCAATGATAGAGATAGTAGGAAAAGACAGCTTGAACTACCTAACTTGAATTCAATTTCCACATTCGTACTCATACATTTTCATGCTCCCTCTTAAGTACTGCTTTTTTCCTTCTTTGTTTGTTTAATAAAGAAAAGCACTCATACATTTAATGCAACTGAAAACCCAATGCAACTTCCTAAACAAGGTCACAGGACAACTCCACAGCAAACTGAGCACTGATGCATTTTTATTCCAGACAGATTCTGGATATACCGTTGCTAGAACTAAACAGATTTAAGAATCTGCTGGGAGCTTTAAGCAACACAGCTCTAGCTAGGAATAGAAGAAAGCTTCACAAGAGAATTTACCACTAACAAAAGCTACTAACAAGTTTCAAGTAATACTAAGTGCTGGGTAAACTTTTTTGCAAACTCTGACAGGTCTCAATCCTAGTGAAAAAACGCTAACTCACATTTGTTAAAAGTTTCTGCAAGAACTTCGTTAGTCTGTAAATCCCAGATTCACTTTCATTCAGCCCAGAAGTTCACCAAAGTTGTTCTTATTTCAAGGTCCCCACCGTCCGTTTTGTTTTACGGAGAAAGCATAAAATTAAGTTTGAATCTAGGAGTCATGGCAAAAAACTAATAAATGCAGCAAGTAAAATTGCCAAGGACACGAAGACAACTTTGTCCTAATTCTTCAAACTACTTCTGATTATTAAATGCCAAAGGACTTAACTGTAAAGCTTCAAAGTGCCTCTATTTAAAAAAAAAAACAAAACAAACAACAACCTACCTTCTCGTGTTTGTAGATTAAGTTTTCAGCTTGTGCTAACCCGAGTGTAATCTGAGTCATTCTTTTTGTATGAATGCTTTGCCTCACTGCTCCAGCCAGGAACGGGGAGAGGAGCTGCACTGACCAGCTGTCAGGCACCAGCTGCAAAACTAGAGCCGCATCAAATTCAGCAGCGTGGTTATTCAAGAGATCCACAGCAGCCATGACTAGTGCACAGTCCGAAGTGCCTGGATTTAGGTACACTGACAGCAGCATATGAAAAAGCCTCCGTCTGTACTGCATGCCTCTGTTCTCAGAGTTCCATATACAGTATTCTTCAGCAGCATGGAAATCCTTTAACTCGTGGACAAGGATATGCAAAGCCTTCTCATGGTCTTCTAGTTTTCCATATAAAATTGCACTTTCCATATGAAGGTCTGTGCCCTGGATTTTGTCTGTTAAATGAGAAACAAGGCGGTATTTGCTCAGTGGAGAAGATGACTACTCCCTCTCCCAGAGTCAACCCAAACAAGCCCACAGTACTCAACTCCTGCTATTTTTGCAGGGGTGCTGGCAGCTATAAAGAGGACAGATGTTTCTAAGTACAAGAATGCCTGTATGCATGGAAACACATCTCTAACAGAAGAGCACCACAAAATACGGGAAAAAGAAACTACTAAATGACAGGTGACAAAACCAGTGTCACTGACATCTTTTAAATTCTAGCATGTCAGTCTTGCACACTTCTGCGCACACTGCTACCATGTATGATAAACTGTGAGATGAAGCCACAATATTCTTAACGTCTGCTTCTCCCAATATTATAGAAAATTACAGAATAGAGTCCATAAAAGACAATAAATATCAAATAGTATTTCCTTTTAAGAAAAGGACACTACAAACCCTTAATCCAGTCTGACAGCTTAAAGTGTCAGCAATAGGCAGGGGGAATGGCAAGTTCATCTGGCATTTCAAGATAAAGTAGAAAATCCTCTGCTTATTGTAAAGGTGATAAAGATTCAGCATAGGCCTCTGTAAAAGGTATGGAAATACGATGTTTTTCTCCCAGAAATATTTTGGTTATCAGGGAGGAACACACTAGCATGCATTGATCTCACCTTCGTGTAAGATAAGAATTGGCATGTAAGAAATCCTGTGTTTTGGAGAACATGGATTTCAAGAGAATAATCCATCTTGTAACTCTTGCCCTTAAAAATTTGGTTAAAAATTAAAAGATGAAAAAAAGCAAGAGTTTCAATGGCTGTGTTACACTTGTAGATTATCTGTCATATAATGTTTTGCTGACTGGAAAGGCAAGGGGACATCAAACGTGGGTAAATTATTTTAGTTGCTACTCAGCTATTTTTATTTCCACATCCACTGGATTTTTCCACTGAATTTCCTAAAAACATCTCACATCTTTCAGTACAATAACAAGTCATTTCCCTTTCATCCACTGGAACATTAAAAATTAGCCATTGTAAGCTTGGCCGAGGAAAAAATTTAGCTCAACTGTTGCTTGCCTTATACCAACAGTAAGACATATGTTGCACTTTTCACTCAAAAAGATGCTCATATTTTTGTTTAGCATGAACCCCAGCTTTTGGGATGAGAGTGGGTCATGGACAACAAACAAGTCCTTGGTAATCAGATTCCTCAAAGCTTCATTTCAGTTCACTGAGAAACAGGCTGCTTAACAAACAAACTTGTAAGTCTTCCCTTTGCAAAAGATTGTCACAACTTACATGCTCATCACTAAAAAGAAACTGACGATAAATTAAGAAGGTTATTGTATGAAGGTATTTTCTCTAGCTAGTTATGGTATTCTGTCTTTGGTGCAGTGGTAAACGTATCATTATACCTCAGGAGCTATGGGAGATCAAAGACAACACTAACAGATACGCTTTCTCAATTAACTTGTGTCTGTTAGAAATACAGATGGTGAGCCTATCAACCAAATACACCTAGAAACCTCCGACCTTTTAGTTTTCTATCCTTATGAGGACTTTATTTTGTTTCCTGCTGGAACTGACATATAGCATTTATAATAGACAACATGCATCTTACCCAAAATAAAGTGAATTCTATAAAGATCAGATTTCTGAAGAAGACTGCGTAGTTTAAACAGCAGTTCAGTTGTTTCTGTACAGTTATCTGTGGTCACAGATTTTAGCTGAAGTATTGCCTCCAAGTACAAGACAGCTAGATGAGTATGGTACTTTTCTTTCTACAGATGAAAAGAACAATGTTAGCTCAGTTAACAAAGACAACCCCTTCTCCCCACCAATAACAGTGATGATTATTTACATAATTACATAGAAGTGTGTTTTAATTCATTTATTTAATTTGAATTAGTCAGAAAGTCTTTTGTTCATGCAGATAGACAACTTATTCATACCAGCTTCACAAAATACACTATACCTATAGTATGGGATTCTCTATTTCATTAATACAAATATTTCTAAAATGTAGATATGAAACATCTTATTCCTAAACCCCTCTTCATCTTAAAGAAACAAGCTCTATAAATAGCTTTTCTTGTGCAAAAATTATTTCCTTTCAGAAGTTCACTTAATGAAAGTCAATGCAGTAAAGCAGATCTCTCTCCAGTGGAGTACAAGTATGATCTCCACTGTGTCTTCTCCTTTTGTTTCCCTTGTCAAATGAGTAATTTTGATCTAATTACTTCTTCCTCATATTCAGGTATGTTCTTTGACCTTTTCTATTTCTGCAATAAAGTTTGAGAAAGCCACCAGAGGTAGACAAGCACTCTGAAGGCACAGTGCTTTGTGTTATCCACTACCCTATATTCAGCAAAACAAGCTGATGATTTGACTGTTCGAAACATTCTCACTAAAGCATTCACAATAATCTAGTACTTTCTAAAGACCAAATCGATTTGTAACCCAGCCTTTACTAGCAGGTAGAGTAGATTTAACTATAAATTATTTTTGTTACAAATATTCTACAAGGCACTATGTTTAACTCAAAAAGTTTGTTTGAAAACATTCATGACATTAGAAACTAGTACATTCATCCGTCATGGTGTCACACACCTTGACGTATTTGCAATAGTGACAGAGGGAAACCATTGATCTAGCACGTGTATTTGAAGAATGTAAAATTGTGAACTGGTCATCAGTTCTGCTGAGTTCTTTCAATGTTCATTTCCTTGCTTTGTTTGCAGGTTAAAGTAACTTCTCCTGTGCTTAAAATATCTTGTATCCAAGTACCATAATGTTTGGCTGCTTCTGTATTGTGCTTAAAAACCCAAAGGTAGAATACACTGTCACTTATGACTTGTGAACACATTTTTTGGACATTCAACATGCAGAGTGGTTTGGAATTCTACAGTGAGAGGTGCATGCTTTAATGCTTTCATTAATTGCTCAAATCGCTCTAGAAGGACAGAATAAAACACACCTACTTATAAAACACTGAATTAGCAATTTTAGTATATTGCTGCCAATAGCAATATACTAATAGCTAATCCAAGAGGATTAGCAGTTGCTCAACCATTTTTCTATGATCTTACCAGATGGAGGTTTGAGCCTCATCGGTGAAACAGAAAAGTATGCAATAATCCCCCCCCCCCGCCCCCGAACCTCTGAGGGGAGGTAAGCAACTGTCTTGCCATCATAAAACTTGAAAAGTTAAAAATAATGCAGATATCTGCTCCTCATCTTCTACTTTAATCTTAAAACCACTCCTTCCCTACTCTGAGTACATCTGAAAGCTTTCAAATTATGCTTATTTCTTCTAGACTTTGGCTTTTTTCAGAGTTGTTCATCATAGTCTGTATTCTGAATCCTATGCCTACTTCTAGTATTCTTGTAGGACTCACCTCTATTTTTCTTTCCAATACTAGATGTTCTAGATATTTAACGTGTGCTTTAGGATATTTGTTAAGGCAACTGATGATATCATCTGGATTAATGTTGTTTTTCTCCTGTTCTTCCAAAGGCCTTTTAGTGAAAATCTGTACGCCAACCTAGGAAGAGTTAATTGCATTTGAGAACTCAGTGGCAACCATTTTATTATCTTTTTATTTTAAATACTTATTTAATAGCACTATCAGATTGGTTAGTACATTATTCAGGAAGATAAACAACACAAAACCCCGCTCAACACCACCAAGATTACACTACTCGGTGCTTATTGTGATCTCACTCACTCCTACCTCCATTACCTCAATTTGTAGTCTATACATTATCCAGCCTATAAACCTTGTGTTGGGCACAACCTCCACCAGCCACAAAAAGTATTGAACAGATCTGCATAACAGCAGAACAAGGACTTCAGCCTTTGCAGCAAGAAAGTGTAAGTTAGAGACCAGAATGTTTACAGCCTTATAAAATGTGATGATACACACAGAGCAAGAGACTTCTATAATGACCAAAACAGAAGTTTAGAAATCTGTCATTGCATGTAATAGCAGAGCTTTAAATTAATTTAAATTAGGCAGTGACAAGTTCCAACAGCACAGACTGTATGATACAGCATCAAGCATCCCATTTAACAGCACAGCACGCTAATGGATGCTACAAAATTATTTTTCTAATTTTGGTGCATTAAGTTAATTCTTGTAGCAATGACGTTTTGTCTTGAATGAAGGCTATTTATTCTACATCCTAGTGTACACAGATATCACTCATCCCTGGAATCTTTTTAAAAAAGAAACAGCAGCAACAGTTAACCTGTTAGGTGATTTTTTTTTTTTTTTTTAAGATCTGAAAAATATTTTGCTTAATATGAAGAAAAACAGAAGACATGCTGTACCTTTCATTGTACAGGATGACCTAAACTTTGTTTTCAGAAGAAAAAGAGGCAATTATCACTAGCACTTGTTAACAGAGGGACTTAGAAGAATTGAGAAACCTCGAAGTTTTCTTCTGTTGATCACTATTTAACTGGCATTAAATATTCTGCAAAAATGATCCAATTAGCTATCAAGATGGAACAACGTTAATGAACACTCAAACACCACTGCAGGGGAATACTTTCTATTTATGATGTCCTGTGAAAAGTACACCAATCACAAACCTCTTCATTTTTTTGTAAAACCCATTCAGAGTATTTCCACACTAGATCTTGGTCTGAGCAGAATGTAAGGAAGTCTACTATATATTCATAGAGATCTGAACGTGTAGAATCTTGAATGTCTCCATCAACTATTTTCACCCATAACTGCAACAAAAACACACACAGATTAAGTGCTTCAAACGTACTCAAAATTTAGGTGAGCTACTACAACACTTAGTATTAGCTATTGGTACTTGTGGAATTAGAAAGAGCTCCTAGGAAGACCAATTGCAAGGGACCTCACTGGTCACTAAATTTATGCCTCCCCTCCATCACAGGCTTTTCTTGCACCTGCCATATTCAACTAATTCAGACCTCGTATCATGTGGGTTCTCATTCTGAGAGTGATTGGCCGAATACTTCAGGAGGAGGTACAATAATCACAAAGAAAGCTTTTGATAAGTCCTTTTCTCCAATGCATGGTATACTTTTCATGTGTTCTGTGTGTGCAAGACTAAAAGCAAATGATACAAACAATTTAGAAGAAAACCTGATTTTGGTCGTCTTTCATTTTGAACTGAAGAACTTTAAGTACCATGTGAGATTATTTATATATTATTTATATACATTATAATTGGAATTAAAAGGTGCCACATCTAGCAGACCAGTTTAGCAATAAACCTTGTTCCTTGCAACAAAGAAAAATGTCTTGCACATGACAAAGGTACATACTGTTTTTGCTATCCTTACTGGTTTTCTGCTCAGGAAATTACTATTTACAGAACTGACTTGAATGCATTTGACAGTGTTACTGTGATTAACATACTCAAAAAGCCACACAGTAAGGCAAACAACTTAAGGCATTGGATATGGTCTGAGACATACATTTTATTTATTGATCAAGAACATATTAATTTTTCTAGATGAAGTTTTGCAGACAGGAATAATAAAATTATTTAGTCTGCAGTCTATGGACCACTGCTAGTCTTAGTGACATCAGAAGGGGGGTCCCCAAAGGTCCCCCCAAAGGATTACTAACCCAGCTGAAACCCACAGATCTTGCAGATTGCGTTCACTGTCCATCATCAGATAAGGAAATAAACTCTCAGTTGCTGTCAGTGTCTGCCATGAGATTACAATATTGCTTTTCTGTGTGTATACAGACTAATCAGCACAGGGTATGTTCCTGAAGTCTCTCACACACCTTTTTTAAGTGATCTCGTGGACAGAAGTGCTAAAATAATCATCTTTTAAGAGTACAAACATATGTTCTGGTATGCACAGTTTTGCTTAAAAAATAGCATACAAGCATCTAAATATCTTAAGTAGCTGTCATCTTCAGTAAGCTCTTCAGGTTTTTCATATCTAGCATATTAATTTATTGAAGGAAGTCTTAGCATAAGTTTCTCTCATATATACACATCGCTACTTTTCAAACAGATAAATTAGCACCTCAGATTTTTATCTCAGAGGTAAACTGGTATTTTGGAATGGTTTACAGATGACGCTAAAAGCTTCATTCTAACCTGAAGTGCTGCAGCATCCTGACCATTGTAGTGATAGAGGAGACCAAGGGCAAAATACCTGTATAGAAAGAGAAAATAATATTAAAATCGCTAGATCTTTCCTACCAATTTCATTATGGTTTGATTAGCACAGAATATAACAAATAATTGCTTACAGTAACATGTACATGGCCATGTCTACACTTGAACAAGTATCTGTAGGCTCTTTTTCAGAATCAAAGGAGAGAAGTTCTGTCCTAGAAATATGTCTGTGTCTCTCCTATCTCTAAGGCAGTTTCTAGTTACTAGCTCCAACTTAAACAAAGTATGTGTCAAATTAGAGATGATTCCCATGCCGTTATTTGAATTTTATATACAGACTTAACACCCAGCTCCAAATAATAAATATCCCTCCAATAGTTAATCAGGTGTCACTAAATCAAATCTTTATGACGCTTTTACTCAAAACTCTGTTTTACTATCATAAACATTTTTTTCTTTACTGCAGCATGAAATCAAGTCAGGCAAGGAAGAGCTTTGTACAGTGCCATTACAGGGTTTTTTGTGTACTGTAATAAAAATACAGCTAAAGTTCTGTAACGGCTGTTCTCATGGAACGATTTTCTACCATTCACATTTGCGAGAGTTTGCCACGCAAACCATACTTACCAAGAGGATTTAACAAAACACCTGAAATAAATGAAACCACCCTAAATCTAACCACAATTAAAGACTCCTCCTCACCACTGTAGTTGCTACTACTGCACCACACAGTTTAAAGACTGAAGAAATTAAATCCAAGACAGAGACACTACCTACGACTGGAGTTTGTATTTTACATATTTACTATCTAGTGTTTCCTGCTTAATGACAGTCAATTCTCCACCTGCTGGCATTTCCAATTTGAAGTCATTTGCAGTCATCTTAAGCAACCTCCTTTCGGTGAACCAGTGGGAGCACAGAAAGTATGCAATTCAGAAGTAAGATCTCT